AGCAGCAACAACAACCTCAGGTTAGCTTCGTGATACAAATTTTGCAGTTTTCGCGTTGACTTGCATAACACATATATATATATATCGCACGTTGACTTCAAATCCAAAAAAAAAAAAAACTCAAAAAACAAAAAAACCCTTAAACAAAAATTTCGTAATTAGAGTTTACTCTTTGTTTCTATATGCAGAACATTACAACGTTGTTAGTGTAACGTACTTGAGAGCTGCATAAATATCTAATACCTTCTTTTTACAAAAAAAAAAATCATTATTTAAAGAGAACGAATCGAGAATTTTAAAAAATAAAAAAATATAAATATATTTATATATATACATTTTTAATTAATTCTATATTTTTTATATTGATATTTTAAATTTAGAAAATTTCATAATAATATAAAAATTATATTACTTTTTTTGGTTATTTTATTTTAATTAGTTTGTTCAACAACACGCTCAACACTCACAACAATTAAAAATGAATAATCCAGGGCAATCAACACATCCTCGTTATCACATGAATAATATGGTTAATATGGCTAATATGCAAGGAGGACAAGGAATGATTCCTAATTCTCAAACAGTCATTAGAAAACGGAATATGGCGGATAATTCAACGATTAACGTTCAACAAGCCAAGTAAGTAAATTTTATTAAATTTTTATCAAATTTCAATCAAATTCTTTTTTTCAAATTCTATTAAAATTTTAAATTTATTCAAATATAATTTTCAATTTAACAGGAAAAAAAGAACGATTGACAGAAACATCCCAGAAAAGGTATCTTTTTTTTATTATTATTATTATCATTTGCAATTTACCAAATTGATCAATCAATCAATTCATTCAACAATTCATTATTAATTCAAATTATTTTTATTTATTGATATAATAATAATAATAATAATAATAATAATAATAATTATAATAATAATAATAATAATAATAATTATAATAATAATAATAATAATAATAATAGCTTGATACACTTGTACCCGAGTCACGATTATACACGGAACTTCAAGAATTCGAGAAAAGATTGGATACCACAA